TAAGGGTGTCCGGGCCAAAGCCCGACTAATCCCCGGCAAATTTGGAGGCTAAACATGGCCCCACTTAAATGTCGCCAACACTCCCCTCCCAGGGCTCGAACTCGGGTTCATGACTATGCCATGCCCAAGCCTTTACCACTAGGCTGGAAGGTCTTTGACAGCTAAATTGTTGTTTGTTGTGCTGAATAAAACTGTCTGAATGATATTAAGTCCTATCAAAATTTGAAGTTTGAACCGTTCAGTTGAAATGGTAATTTTAGTAGATGAATGGCTGTTAACGACTTCTCATGTGTAGCAGCGGGCAAAATGGTCACACTTGCAAAGTTACAAAAAATCCCATGTCTATAAGTAGTACGAGGGACTACAGAAGTCGTTTCTCGGATATTATAAGGAGCGTGGTGAAGAATATGTCGGTTCCTGTGATGGCGATGCATGTTACTCCCATGGGGTCGTTTCGTAGTGATGCACACGTTGGTACTTGGAGTGATAATCCAACGGTTCCTGATTGTAGCCATTGGTGTTTACCTGGAGTCCCTGATGCATGGAATCAAATCCTTTTCTCATATCTATGAACTTCTGAACATGGTAACTTGACTTTTTGTCTTTTTTGAGGTCAAACCTACTTGATCCCAAATTCAAATTAGATATCATCTTTTACAAGTTTGATGAAATTAGTTAGAACATGAGTATTTCTTAAAGCCCGATGCGACTTTTTTGTTGTTTTATGGGCTAATTGCATGAAAATGCAACATACTTTGGGGGAAATTTGACCAAACTAGTGACTTTCGACCACATTTAGGTACACAGCGTGACGTCTCAAACATTTCGGTACACAGTGTACATCTGAGAATGCATGAAAATGCAACTTACTTGTGACCAATTCTTGTTTTATGTAACGTACTTTGGTCTCAATTTTTGAGATGTCAAATGTGAGACACCAAAATGAAGATTTGAAAAGTACGTCGCACAAAATAGGAATCAAATCAAAATACGCTACATTTTTTTATCAAATGAATCATTGTTTTATATATACTTGATCTTTGAGACTCGTTTGAATTTGAAATTTAGCCGGTACATTGAGTATCTGAAGCCATTTTGTCGATTGAGTTTTGACTGGAGTTGATCTCGTGTTTTGCAGGCTTGGATTTTTTTGACGAAATGCGAACGTTGCAGGTTAGCTTTTCGTTTACGGTGTGTATTTGTGAGTTGAAGAGGAGAAAACGGTTGACATCGTTTATAACAAATTTAATTGATTTGTTGTACAATAGTCATATTCTCAAATTTAAGTTTAGCTGTTTTTAGCAAAAGTTGCTTCAATGTAATGTGTTTCTATGTATAGTTATGTATTTGTGAGAATGTAAAATTTGAACAATATCTACCTCTATTAAGTATTTGTTTTATCTTATACTATGAAATAATACGTACGGTTATGTTTTGGTAAACTAGCTGAAAATCAGTTAATAAGCTATAAATGTTCGGTAAAAACAAGTTAATAGGTTAGGGGTTATTTGATTGGTTTTCCATTAAGTCTTGTATTGATAAATTTGAATGTGTAGATTAATATGTCTGTATAGATTAGGAGGGTTTTTGTTTGGGTGGGTTTTTCATAGATGGAAGAAACATGTTTTTTTTAAACCAGGAGGAACATGTTTGGAAAAACAAAATTGATTTTTTTTTTGTATAAATCTCATTCTAGAAGCTTACTTAATAAGCCACTTTCTATATCATTAAGCCACTACCAATAGTCATGTATAGCTGACTGAATAAGCTGTGGGTTTTATTAATCTCATTAAGTTATTAACAAACAAGCCCATAGTTGAAAAATGTAAAACTAGTTAATTTTGCATTACATAATATAATTAAAACAAATCACTAATTATATAATCAGTTTTGTAGGATTACGGTCCCTCTCTCTATCTTTTGTTAATGACTCCGTTAACTCAAGGGTATCCGAGTCTTTTTACCATTTTCACTTATTTTCTATTATAATTGAAAAAAATATTACATTATATTTATGTATTAGATTATACATACGTAGAGGGTTAATCATTTGTTAACCAAACAGATGGTGTTAACTCTGTAAAACTTTGGACCAATTAGAAATCATCTCTAGTCCTGGTTACTTCACATGCTGGAATCTCAATGATTAAGGCTAGATGTGTAATTTTCAGGTTTTAGTTTTTTTTTAATGAATTTAATGGACGGTGACATTGAAAAGTTGTCTTATTTTAAGGATGATAATTTTATCTCTACTTTCTCTCTTGTATATCTACTTTCTCTCTCAAGCAAAATTGGGAATCATCAGGCGATTCCGCCATCCAACCCAAAGAACCCGTCGACGGTCTCCTTCACTGTGAGCCATCAACATCTCTCTTATCTCTCTCTCTCTCTCTCTCTCTCTTCTATCCTCTATCTCTCTGTCGTGGATCCCTCATCCCCTCCCCAGAGATCACACCAAATCTAAGTTTTGAAGGATTTCTAGATTATACAACAGAGGTCACACCAAATTTGGGTATGCATCTCTAGATTATGCAACAAATGCGACAAATCTGGATTTTGAGGGATATCCTTCAAGCAACAAATATGAGTTTTTCCTTCAAGCATCATATGCAACAGTCTTTCAAGCAATCTTATGCAACATGTGAAAATGGAAACTGTTAGTCATGCAGATCAGGGTATTTAACATGTTCATAACTGAATTCATGCGTAGAAACTTTTGAGATTGTGTAAAAGTGAATGTTTTTTTTTCTTCAAATTATCCATGTAATATTGCAGTGAAACATTGTTCATAAGTGAACTGTAATATATGAAGACTTCAAATTGTTCATAAGTGAACTGTAATATATGAAGACTTCAAACTGTTCATAAGTGAACATTGTTTGTCAAGACTGTTTTTTTAGCCTTTATTTATGTGAGTTATGTTTTTGTTATCTCATTGATGAAAATTGATTTGTTTCACTATGAAGATTTTGATTACTATGTTGAAGATTCGAAAGCCTCGATAACCTTCATGTTTGATTCCGTGTGATCACAGGGATAGATTTTGTTTCCTAATCCCATAACTTAACCATTTACCTTTTTACCCCTCTTCACTTCATTGATGACACATGTTGCTTAAATGACATTAAACAATTCTAAACCATTAATGAATATTTCAGACATATGAGATTGATTCACAAAGTTAACACTAATCGTTTGTTAACAAAATAAGGGGACAATACACACATACATTTATAGGCGAAGGATCGTTTGAGAAGAAAGTTATGGCAAGAAGCGTAATAAAAGATCTGAACTTTTGATCACTTTTAATCTTATGTCACCCATGAATTGTGCTTTAGAAGGGAATTGATCTGGTACATCTCGATGCACCTCATTAAAGCTGACATTCGATTAGGATTGATCCAAGTATGAAGATATCTTCTTACGTTTTTCAATATAATTTTCCTTCTCACATAAACCCAACCCTACATATACATATATACACACATATACATATATATATATATACATATATATATATATATATATATATATATATATATGCACACGCTAT